GCACTCTCTCTGCTCTGTTGGTTCTTCCAGTGACATTAGAAGAATGACTAACCTCTGAACACCCTGTTGGAAGTGCAGGCTGTTATGTTTTAGCTATCTTGGAGAGGGAGAGATTTAGATATTAATAACTAGGAGTCTTCCAGTGTCCTAGTTTTAAGGATCACCATATTCAGAGAGATGGATTGCTTTGATCTGGCCAGTTGCCTTGAAGTTTCTCTTCACTTGAGACAAATCAGAGAAAAAGAAAGCAAAAGTATTGATTTGCAAAATTCAAAGTAGACAACATAGATGCAGAATTTCATGAAGAAAGGTGGAAAGAAAGGAAATTCAAATTGTTCGTATATTCCTTGGAATAGCTCCTATATTCCTTAGAATTCCTTAGAATAGAATTCCCCTAATAGTTCCTTAGAAAAATCTCTCTTACTTTTTAAGATCCAACTCACAGGCTGTTAAAATATTCAGAATCCTGTGGCTGAGGACCCATTTCTGCATGGCTCCAACCCACTTTGGTATAAGTCCTGAAAGACGATCTAGATTTGGGAAATCTGGTGTTTTTGATTTGGGAAGAAGATTTGGGAACTTTGGTATTTCCTTTTACATCACAAACTTCTTCAGTGATTGTCCATATGCATTAATTACGTGATGGGAACTAGTGGATTAGCCCCATTATTTATTCTTGAGCCGAGACGTGCTTTGAAGTATTGATGACTCTTTCTTTTCCTGCTGCCCTGCATTTTCAGCAGAGTGACAGAAAAAGCCTCTGCTTCAGCAGAAGCTGTAGAGTCTGCCTCTTGCCAGGACAGTGAGGTGGGAGATGTGGGATTGAATCCATGTAGAACAAGGCAGGATCCTGGCTGAGTCCTTAAAGCACTGAACTGTTTGACAGCAGCACTCCTGTCACCTCCATCCCTCCCTCTCTGGCAGCACTTTGGAAGAGCAAACTCTGCTTGGGTTTCTTTTTCAGGAGAGGGTGTCAGACTGAGTCCTTAATGGGATTGAAGTATCTTCCGCAGGGTGAATGGTGTACTCTTCTGCTGAGCGTGTCCAGTTGGCAGTTTCTGACTGAGCATGCAAGCTTTGCTCCCTTGCTTGTACGGTCCTGACACCACGGTCTCACCACTTGCAAGTTAAGCAATGGCACACAGCAGCATGGGACTGGGAGAGCCTTGAATCATCAAGTTTACTCATCCCCAGTCATAAACAGTGATTTATAATTAAGTCCAGAATGATGAACAAGATATTCACTTCCTGCTATGTTCTTTTTATACCTGTAAGTCCCAAATCCCCACTAACCTAATTACTTTCCCTTCCCTGGCTCTGTAACTAGCTGAAGATTTTGAGAACAAAAAGACCAAAAACTTAAACTTCTGAAGTTTCCTGGAAGGAGGAAGGAGAGATCCTCAGACTGATCCTCAGAGTGCTCCAAGTTCAATCACAGAATCATAGCATGCCAGGTTGGAAGGGACCTCAAGGATCATCTGGTCCAACCTTTCATGACAAAAGCACAGTCTAGACAAGATGGCCAGCACCCTGTCCAGCTGAACCTTAAAAGTGTCCAACGTTGGGGAATCCACCACTTCCCTGGGGAGATTATTCCAATGGCCGATTGTTCTCATTGTGAAAAATTTTCCTCTTGTGTCCAATGGGAATGTCCCCAGGAGTAACTTGTACCCATTACCCCTCGTCTTTTCCATGTGACTCCTTGTAAAAAGGGAGTCTCCATCTTCTTTGTAGCCACCCTTTAAATACTGGAACATGGTGACAAGGTCTCCCCTAAGCTTTCTTTTCTCAAGGCTGAACAAACCCAGTTCTCTCAGCCTTTCCTCATATGGCAGGCTTCCCAGTCCTTTGATCATCTTTGTGCCCCTTCTCTGGACCTTC